CACACAGCTACATTTAGGGAACCATCTGCTGTTCACATAAGGAAAGACTCCTTCCACCTCCACCTGCTCCCTAGTCCACAAAGCACCCTGATTCCACGTGCTGATGGGGAGCCACGCAGCCTCTGACCACAATGGCCTGGGAGGACTTCTGGGTTCGCTGGGCCACGTGTACATTTCACTGTTCATTTTCCTGGTGTTCTGCTCCCAGAGGGGTCTGAGGTGAGTGTCCTGGTCTGAGTGTGAGGGAACTGTTCACACCTTTCTCTACCAAAACACTTGCTGCAGAAGATCAAGGACTACAGCCTGCAAGAGGGGTCACAGCTCGACACCAAGAAAACAAATCCTCACCACTGCACCAAAAGGCAACAGCATCATAACAGATGGGACAAATCTGAACTTGCTTGGGTCCACAATCAACGATGACGGTAACAACAGTCAAAAAAATCAAAAATGTGTTGCACAGGACAGATGTGGCGTCAAGGACCCCACCAAAGTTTTAAAGAGCAAGGATGTAAACTTGAAGACTAAGATGTGCCTGATCCAACTGATGGTCTTTTCAGCTCCTTGCTGTGCATCAGAAAGTGGGGAAGGTTGGTCAAAGAGTAAGGATGACAGAAGAAGAGTCCACGCCTCTGAACTGTGCTGGAGGAAAGTACTGAATGCTGCAGAAACAGCTAACAAGTTTCTCTTGCAGGAGGGGCAATCAGGGTGCTCCTTAGAACCAAGGACGGTAAAACTTCATCTCACATACTCTGGGAATGTTGTAAAGGAGGGACCAGTCCTTGAAATAAGACATCCCACTGGGAAAAGTGGAGGGTCAGAGGAGAGGAAGACCCTCAAAGGGATGGACTGACACAGTGCCAGCCACGATGTGTCTGGGCACAGCGGTGTCTGTGGTGCTGGAGCAGGCAGGCATCCAGTACGCTGTGCTGACTGTCACGGACTCATAGTCAACTCAACAGCACCTGACAACAACAACCTGCACATCTATTGTCACTGAGAACGGCACTGGGGTGAGTGGGACACTGGGATGGGCTGCAGCACCAGAGAATGGAATGGTGCCCGGTCCTCGTCAGCCTGCTTGCTTGGAGAATGGACCACTGTGACCCAGGTGATGTCCACTGATCGGGTTTCAGCAGCACATCACCAGGACTTTCTTCCTGATCTCTCTGTATGGAAGCTCTGCCGAGGCCTGTTCACCATCACACAAGCCTCCAGGGACAGGCGGGGGGAGGCTCTGCCTGAGGTGCACCAGCCGGTAAAGAAAGCAGGCCTTCCGCACGGAAGGTGTAAACTGCACCACTGCCCTGTCGGCGCACAAAGAAACGCCCGTGGATGTGTGTGCATCCACCAATGGTGCCCTGCCTGCTGTCCTCACCTAGAGAAGCACCACAAAAGCCTACACACAGGGGTCATGAGCTCGGGTGTCTGCAGGGGGCAGGCCAGGGACACTCAGAGCTGGCACAGCTGTGTCACTGACAGAAAGAGGCGAACGGTGAACCCACCTGACCGACGCATTCACACAGCTCAGTGCTGAGCACACGCGGCCAGCCTGTCTGCAGGGCCTGGCCTCGCTCACTGTGACGGCACTCTACTCACTGAAATGCCTTCCAGTATCCAAGCCAGAGGCCGAGTCCCACCCCAGACCCCTCCCTCAAGATCCTGAATACCCACCATTGGAACGTGACCTTGTAGGGCCAAAGATTCACCTCCACCTTCCCATCTCCACACAGAATCCACCACTGTGAAGTGTGGTGCTGGAATAGGTCGCGGACCATCTGAAGAGTGGGCAAGCCAGTCTTAGAAGAAACACCCACTGGCCTCCACGGACACCAGGATGACAAGACTTTAAGCTGCCTGCTCTGGACATGTCCACCAGTGAGTGGGCCAGGGCATCGTGTTTGGTGAAGCAGAGGGTCCACAAAGTGAGAGAAACCTCAGACCAGTGATCAGACCACCGATCACAGCTCCCCCACCTCCTCACCCCCGTGTTCCACGTGAGCCCTCCTACCAGTCCACCTCCAGATCACAAACAAGAGGGCAGGGAGACCTGAGAGGCGTGGCCACGTCCGCCCAGTGGGTGCGGAATGCACATGCAGCTCTCCGGCCCCCAAGAGTGGGCTCACCCCCCCCCGCCCCCATCTTAGTAGGAGGGGCGTCTTCCTAATGCTTGTGCTGAGTTCGTTCCTCAACACCGCGGCTTCTACACAGGGCGCACAGCCTCACTCTTGGACGAACGTTATGTGTGGCACTGCTAGGTCATGACCTAAAGGACTGTCTCGGGCAATACTGACCATGTGAATGTTCCCTCTGCTCTCACCTTAGAAGCTCCACCCCCACCCACTGTCCCCAGGCCCAGGACAAGGCCCTCTTCATTCCCCAGGAACGTACCTGCAGGCAGCGTGGAGAACTCCACCCAGGCCTCCTTCTTCTCCCGCTGCTCCAGCGGCAGCTGCCAGGGCACCTGGTGGGGCTTGGCCAGGACCTTCACCTTGTAGGCCATGTTGGGCCGGAGGTTGAAAAACTGGTACTTGTACCTGGCCGCCTTGACGACATCCAGCTCCTCCTCGTTGAGGAAGATGACGTGGCTGTAGTTGCTATTGGTGGGCATCCAGGAGAGCTGGGCGGAGATCTGGGTGATGTTATCCACCCGCAGGTGCGAGGGGGCCACCACCACGTCCCGGCCCACCAGCAGCGTGCACTGCAGCTCGTCCGAGCTGCCCCGGCTGGTGACGCACTGCACGGAGATGCGGTGGGTGCAAGCCGTCAAGTTGAGCTTCTCCACCAGGGCCTTGGTCCTGGCCCCCAGCGCCAGGCTCAGGCGCGTCTCGCGGTCCACCAGCACGTTATAGCTGCTCACTGTCCCCCAGCCCGGGGGCACGGCCGGTGGCTCCCAGCCCACAATGACACTTTTGGCGAGTTGTTTGATGAGCGTGATTTTTCGAGGGTAAGGCACAATGTCTTCTCCGACGTCGTCGATGTTCACATCCAGCGTCCCCCCACCGTTGTCCGTGATGCTGGGTTCAATGTGAGTGGGGGAGCGGAGGTCAGGGACGTCCTCCCCCTCCAAGCCGATGCCAGAGCGGTTGATGAAGTTCTGGTCCTGCTCGTTCCCCAGTGAGCTCGACAGCCGAGACTCATTGTCCTGGACAAAGTCCACAAAGTTGGAGGGTACCAGACCCCTCTGTCCGTCCAGGAGCTCCCCTGTTGGGGACAAGCACAGGTTACCACCTAGCCACCACACCAGGGACTCCCCTGGCCTGCAGCACGCCCGGCATTCCTCCCTAATCAGACCACACTTCACAGTGACAGGTACACCTGGTGGCCTTCCTCAGCTCCGTGTGGGAATCTGCCCCCAGTGCCTCCTCCTAGAGACCCTCCCTGCCGTCTAACGCTCTCATCTACCAGCTCCCCATCACACACCTGGTCTCCACCACAGCTGTCCGTGGGCATACACTGACCACGCTCCCCCAACACCACCAGGAACCTTCGTTCTGCTCGCCACTGGCACCCCCAGCCCCGGGCAGCACCCTGCACACAGCAGGTGCCCAGCAAACACCAGGAAAACTAACACGCATCAGCTCTGTGCATGTCAACTCTCAGAGAACAAGCTTCTTAAAGACGTTTTTGGTTAGGCAATCCCAAGAAACGGGAGCTAAAAGGGAAATTAATTCTCTCCAACCCACAGAAAGTACTATGTGCCCATTTCTTTCATAATGCCCATGTGGTGTGAAAGGACATGAGCAATTCAGTCACAGAACCACCTGTGTCCACCCATATGCCCATCTACCTGACCCGTCATAGACCATCCACCGTAGGTCATCCATTTATCCATCCATAAGCCATCTGTCTTTCCAATAATCTATCCATTCACCCACCCACCCACCCACTCAACCCACCCAGCACAGATCATCCATTTATCCATCCACCCACCCGTCCACTCACCTGTCCATCCCTCCGTCCCTCCCTCCCTCCTTCCCCTCTAGCCTGCTCTGCAGTGAAAACTTCCTGTCTTGGGGAATGCTCTAACTTCTTCCTTCTCTTGGGGGACTTTGCCTCATGGTGACCCCGTGGACAACAGCAGGAAGCACTGCCCAGCCCTGGCCATCCCCATGGTCAGCTGTCGATCTATTGCTAGTCTTAGGTTTTTCACTGGCTGTTCTTTTTGAAGTTATTCACCAAGCCTTTCTTCCTAGTCTACCTTCATCTGGAAGCTCAGCTGAAACCTGATGAGCATCACAGCAGTGCACAAACCCTGAGGACAAACAGGAGGTGCTGGGCAGGACAGAGAGAACGCCCTAGTGCTGTCCAGATGCTGACACAGACACGTATCAGGCCGTTACTGTAGGGCAGGCCTCCTTCCTCAAGGCCCTGCTCTGGGGTGGGTGCCACGTTCTCTCCGTTCTGAGGTGACAGACGCAGAGAGGGGGTGAATGTCCCGTGAATGTTGAGCTTTGCAGCCTGCTGTCACAGGACAGTGGGAACTGGATAGCGAATCAGGAAGATCAAAGAATCAACACAACAGCTGCAGCAACGAGCTTAATAGAGCAACGGTGGTGAGGCTGGGACAGGACTGGACAGGGTTCTGCTGTCTTGTGCATGAGGCCACTGCACATCAGAAATTACTCCTTTAGCACCTAACACGGACGAAAAAGTGAGCAGAACCTGGACCACACCTCATCGCAAGGTCACAGCAGAGCCTGGAGCCCTGAGGATGGGATGCCCCTGGGAACCTGTGGTTGAAGTTGTGTGCAGGGGATTCTGCCCAGTGCACAGGAAACGTGCAGAGGGGCAGTGTCTCCTGACTTGACCCTCTGCCCTCCTGCAGTCACTGAAGGGAAGACACCTGTCACCGGGAACACTGCCCGGGAGCAGAGGGAGCCTCAGGATCCATGGCCCTGGTGGCCACCTGGAGTGCCACAGGCCTTCTGCGCCCACCGCCAGCCAAGCCACAGCAGAGACCTTCGTAAAACCCGTCCTCGTCCATGTCGCCGTACACGTAGAGGTACTTCCCTGCCGTGAGCGGCAGCTCTGCCTCAGGGTTCTCATTGGGGCCGTCGAAGGGGTTGTAACTGGTGGGGGAGACAGAGAGCGACCCGTTAGGGGCACTGGCTGGAGGTGGAGGCCCGAGCCGTCCAAGGAAGGACACCAAGCTGGCACAACCTCTCCCACCACCAAAAACAGCAAGCGTCAGTCCAGAGGACACGCAGGCCAGGCTGCTCCCTCGTGTGGACGTAATGCAAAAAGGTGATTCTGGAAGCAGGGAGTCTCTTAGTCAAGACCCCCGTGTGCCTAGTGGCACGGGGAGGAGGCAACCACTGGCCGAGCACACTCATTTCCAGACGATTGCAGCATGTGCAGAAAGGGGACATCTGCCCCGTGTCTACAGGCACAGCTTGGCCCAGGTGCTCCAGGGCCTGCTCAGCAGCCTCCCCTGACCCTGGCCATGCAAACGCCACCTTGCGCCCCTGCAGGTGGCAGGGAGAACCGTGCTCTGTGGGGTGCTCAATGGATGAGCTTTCAGAAGTGGGCTGCGAGGCTTTTCTCCCAAGATGCCTGTGGGTAAATTTGAACCTCTGTCCTTTCCATGAGCAGCTGAGTGCATTCACCACCAGGAACACCATATCCTCTTGAGTCTGGTGAGATGCTGCCCTCTTTCAGGGCAGGTGGACCCTCAGTTCACGGACACCCCAACCACCCTATTCCCTGCCTCTGCCCCCAAGTGTCCTATGCTCACAGGCAGCCAGCAGTGTGCAGAGGGGGCAGTGGCCCTACCTATATCGGGCAACACACAAGTGGACCTTCCCGGAGTATCTCTGCTTCGAGGTATTGGAATTCCGTTCATTATCCATCTGTCAGGAACACAACCAACATGTGTTACAGAATGTGGAGGTCTCTTATTCTGTGTCTAAAACACCTAGAAAACCCTCCTGTTATCTTATCAGACTTGAGGAGTATGACCTTGAAGGGGGAAGGGAAGGAGGAGGGGAAGACAACACGGGGAGGGGAGAAAGGAGGTTGAAAGCAGGGAGGGAGGATGACGATGATGGAGGCAGTGTCCACAGCACGCCCAACACGTGACTCACGTCGGACTCCAATCTGCATCTCGGGGCTCTGGACCTGGACAGAAAGGCGGGCTTGAGGGGCAGCGGCTCTGGCTTGTCCCCAGGAATCGCGAGGGGCAGGATGTAGTCACCAGTCACAGAGTAGCTTCCAGTGGGGCTATCCTGACCTGGCCATGGCATCAGACCGGTTTGGGGAGAGTTGGGGAGAGATGGGAATCCATCAGACAGGCACTGGGCGGTCCACCTCCCTGGGCCTCTTGACTGACCCAGGAGCCTCCACTGTGGAGACTGTGTGGTGGTCCTGAATGATGCTGGGATGCACAGGAAAGTCCAAGCAGATAGAGATGCTCCCTCTCCTGGCTCCACACTGAGGATGTGAGACTAGGAGATGTTGCAGCCTTTTTACCACCACGAGGTCTCAGCATGGAGCCCAAAATAGAGAAGCTGAAAGACTCAGGGAGAGAAGCCTCCCTGGGGATGTGGATGTGGCCGGCTCGGCACCTAGATCCACCCGCACCTGATGCCAGCTATCTTGGCTGATCTCCACAGGACAGACACCTCTCTGGGCATAAAGCAGGGTAGGCTGGCATTGTTGTTGCTGTTTACTGTTAAGTCAGAATCAAACTACTGCTGATCCTCCAGTGTGTTTTCAGAAGAGCCTGTCCATCTTTTTCTCACAGAGCAGCTGGTGGATTTGAACTGTGTACTTTTCGGTTGCTAGTGCACTATTTACCATTAGGCTGGTGTTACCATCACTGAAGACCAAAACATCTTGCCTGATGCTTATGAAGTGAACAAGGGCTAGGCTTGGGGCTAAAATGTACAACTTGTAAAGCACAAAGCAGGTCCCTGCAGCCTGTCCTCGTGTCTGCCGAGTCCTGTACACAGGGAACTCAGTGCATCTGGATCAAATCCTGGCAGACGGTCAGGTTGTGGGCATCTTAGTCTCTAGATGTGACACTGTGTCATCTATCTCCTCACGCTGCTGTCACAGGGGTAACTTCAGGGGGTAGCTTTAATGAACATTTAAGCATTTCTCACTGGTTAAAGTCCACAGCAGGGCCCCTCAGGGAAGACTGAGGAATCCTGGGGACGCTGTGCACTGTGTGCTGAGCTGCCAAGTGCAAGATCGGTGGTTTGAATCCACCAGAGGCTCCTTGGGAGAAAGATGGGCAGTCTCCTCTCATTACAATTTAGTCTCAGGACACGGTGAAGGTTGCTGCTTCAGTCAGCTTGGTTCAGGTTGGCTTAGGGAAAGGCAGAGAGGCTCTGGTGGTGCAGTGGTTAAGCACGCAGGTGCTAACTGCCAGCAACTTGAACCTACGTGGACAAAGATCTGGAGCTCTGCTCTCTAAAGAGCCAGGCCTCGGAAACCCCACAGGGCAGTTCTGCGCCTTCCTGCAGAGCCACTGTGTGTCCGAGGCCCCTGGACAGCAGTGGGTTTTGGTTTTGGTTAGGGGACAGCCCTCACTGCCCTCTCCTTGTCTGTCTCTCTCCTGTTTCAGTCTTCTCTGCCTTGCTCTGTTGCTGTCTCCCTTCTCCTTGCCTCTGTTTCTATCCTTCTGCTTCTCCTCTCTTTCTTCTTCCCTCTGGGTGCTCATGCCAGCTTCTCGGGCTCTGGCACTCCTCAGGACCTTATGGTCTCCGTGTAGCATATCCCTCCCCTGCTCCTGCCTGTTTGGGGGAGCCATCAATCGATTCTGACACATGGTAACCCCACGTGTCACAGAGCAGACCTGCTCCAGCCCCTTTCCAAGGCTGTAATAGTTAGCAGAGCACACAAGCAGGTCGGAAACGCCAGCAGGCAGCCAAGCACTTGACCACTAGGTCCCCTGCACCTGCTCTGTTTTCAGGGCTCTCAGATGAGGAATCTGGGACCCCTCTATACTAATGTCACCTTGCTAGTGAAGTAAAAAAGAAAACCCTGTTCCCAAAGCCATTGCTGCATGGGGCCAGGGCTGGGGCCAAGGCTGCAGCATCCCTTCTCCGCAGATCTTGGGCCCCGGGAGACTCAAGCGGGCCCCTCCCACATGAGCTAGCTTCTGCAGCTGTCACACCGGCATCCTGCAATCCTTGACAGTATGAACAGTCAATGTGCTTGGCTGCTCACCCACAGACTGGATGGTCTATTACACTCAGGGGGTGACTCGGAAGAAAGGGCTGGCGATCTACTCCCTAAAACCAGCTGATGGGAGCTTGGGGAAGGCAGCTCCCCACTCTGACACACACAAGGTCACTGTGAGCCAGGGTCCACTTGATGGTGCCCGGCTGTCACTCCTGAGTCGGGTAGTGGCCGATTATGTTGCTCTTGCCCAGGCTGGGAGCCACGCTGGCCTCACTCGGCCGTGCCCAGCCCTCCTCACTCACCTTTGCCGATGGAAGTGGCGATCCCATTCATGAAGGGCGGGAAAGGTTTGCTGGGGGCTGTGGGGAAGTCCAGGGCAACCACAGGGCTGCTGCCTAGCAGGTCGATGGTGCCAGCATGCTGCCGGAACTTCTCCAGCTCCCGCGACAGCAGGCTGAACTGCTCACTCTGCAGGCGGCATTTTGCCTCCAGCTCTTGGACCTTGGACTGGGGGAGGTGGGGTGCAGAGATGTGTCAGGAGGCTTGGGTGGGATCACACCCAGCTCCCACAGGCAGCGTGGGGCGGATCTCATGATGCAGCCCTCCCGTGAGGTACACTCAGCCTGCACACATGGTCCAGGCTGCTTCACCCAGCGTGCAGGCTCCTGGGCCACTCAGCCAGTGTACAGGACCCTAGGGCCAAGAGGTCTGGGCCGAGCACAGGGGACACTCGGTGGTCAGCAGGGGCTGTGCACACTCTGGCCCATGTGGGAGGGGAGGTGACTGAGCTGCTAACCCACCAATACACCTTCCCACTGGGGGACCCTCCCTTCACACTGCACAGCGCCCACCACCACAGCTCTGAGGGTCATGACAGGCTTTCTACCTGCTGGGTTTCTACCCACTGTACCCGTGCAGAACCATCAGGGACAGACAGGGCCCCTCAGGGACACACCCAGGAAGAAATTGCCCAGCTATCTCCCAGGGCAGGATGGAGCTGGGCCCAGGGGCCTGCGTGCTGTGTGCCTAGACCTTGCCTGCCTGGCCCCAGAGGTGGCCTGTGAGAGCCAATGTCCCCACCCTGGACATGGTGACCTAGTACAGAAGGTGGGCATGTCTCTAGGACAGGGGTCTCTAAATCAGCCCACCAACAGGCACAGATCAGAGAGGTCAGTGTTGCCTCTTCACCCTGCCTCAGTTTCCCCCAATATCCCACTGTCCTTGAGAGCCCAGCTGTGCCCTCAAGCTCACTGACCTATCCCCGATGCTCCATGAGGACAGGCACAGGGTTAAAAAATAGCAGTGGTTGCTCGTGAGTAAACCTGCTGCACAGCAACCCATGCAGTCACAGCAGAACCGTGCTCTGTGCCCAGCAACAGAGTTCAGAGGTAAGAGAAGAGGAGGACTGGAAACAGGACACCCAGGGAGGAGAGGGGAAAAGTGCTGCCCTGTTGAGGGGCTTGCCTCCAATGTCCAAAGCAAGAAAGCAAGTTACATTGATGAATGGGAAACAAACTTTCCCGGTAAGCTCCAACTGGAAACACAACTGAGAGAACAAGAGCTGTGCCCACAGGATCTTGAATGGCCAATTTTTTAGTAGCCAGGCCTTTCTTCTGAGGTGTCACCAGCCCCTTGCTTAGTCTCCAAGCCCTGAGCCACTTGTGTGACCAAAAGACACCTATTAATGATAGGGTGGGGCACCGGGCTGGTTGTCAAGGGTCCCCTTGTCTCCCAGCCCACGGGGTGCCCTTCTCCGTGGCAGTGGTGGGGAACCTCATTTGCCTATTACTAGCAGAGTCTTGGCTGGCAGCCCTGCTCAAGTTCCAGCTCCATAAGGGCCGGGCTATGTCTACGGTGAAGTGAATGCTGACAACTGTTTAAGTGTAAAAACCCAAACCAAACCCAGAGTCGGCTCAGACTCCCAGGGACCCCACCAGAGAGTGAGGGGCTACCCACAGGGCTTCCGACGCTACGATCTTTATGGATGCAGACAGCTTTGTCTTCCTCACTCACAGTGACAAATGAATGGGTCAGAACCACAGACCTATTGGTCAGCAGCTACCGGGGGTCCTAGAGTTTACAGCAGACAGCACAAAGGGAGAAACTGCAATGCAGGGGGAGACCCAGGATGAGGGCCACTCTCATCTTCCTCTTCCTCTCTTCTCCTCCCACAGTCCCCAGCTCCCTAGTCGAGAACAAAGTGCTATTCCTGAGCTTTCTGATTTGCTAAAAATAAACCTAATGAATTGCAAACCTAGAGTTAATTTCTTTGATTCATTAACAAAAAGCAGCATTCTTTTAAAAAGCTGAATGAATGTGGCTGGGCTAGCAGTTTCCAGTGAGGGGGGCAGGGGGCTTGGATAGGTCCCCTGGAGGCAGGGTTCCCCCTGACAAGGGCAGCACGTGGATTGCTGAGTGCTGGGCAGACAGGATGTCCGAAGAACCAGAGACAACACCGAGTTTCTCCTAGTGACCCAGGAAGAGGAGGGGGCCTGAGAGGCCTGTGGTCACCCTGGAGGGGAAGGCGCTTATAGCAGGCAGAAGAGCAGCAGGTGCAAACCTCCTCATCGTCCTTCACTTGGGCCCGCACCCTGGCTTCAGGGGCGTGTGAAAGGTGACTTACCTCAAAAGGCGAACAGATTTCCCAGTGATAGAAGGGTCTAGAAATGGCAAAATCATAGTGATGGGGAATGGATTGACAGTCGGTTTAGGGCTGGGGGAGGGCGACTCTAGGGAGACTAGGGATGGCGTGACAGTGGAAGACTGGATCCTGTCTGTGGTAGTGGCACAAATCGGTGCCGCCCAGTGGATCCCTACTCGTAGCGACCCTGTGTGACACAGCAGAAATGCACCCTGGGGTTTCCCAAAGCCAGACAGTGAGTAAGGAAGACCAGAGAATCGATGTCCTAGAATGGGGGTGCTGGCGAGGAATGGCAAATCCACCGCGGACCGCCAGAGAAATAAACTAGTCCTTCTGGGTAAAACTGCAGCCACAAGGGCTCTTTACAAGTGAGGATGGACAGACTTCATCTGTCCTGGTGGTAGAGTGACCTGCTTTGCACAAGTGATCAGGAGAGACCAGTGCCTGGAAAAGGATGTCATGCACTACTGGTAAAGCTGAGGGTCTGTGAGAACAGGAAGCACCTCAGTGAGATAGGGGGACACTGTGGCCACCACAAGGGCTCAAGCAGGGTAGAGCCTGGGAGGGTGCGTGGGACTTATAGTAATACAGGGTCTCCTAGGTTGGAATCTGTACAGGAGCAGCACTAGGCTTTTCTCCCAAGGAGGCCTGGGGAGAATTCGAACTCGAACCACCAACCTTTACTTATCAGACCACTTAGCGATTATGTCACTAGGGCTCACTGATATGAAGCTACTCGTGCATGAACATTTCACAAAATTAAACACAAAACAGTGAGTGACCACCAACACTGATGGCCTGCAAAGAGGGCCCGAGGGTGGTCACCAGAACTGTACCCATGTCAGCTTCCTGGCTCGGACAACGTCCTGTATCTGCATACAATGTTGTCATCAGTGGATGGACACCCAGGACCTTCCTGGATTATATAACTGGTTGTTTTGTTTTGTTTTAAGGGAGCATATTTGAAGAAAGTGTCACAAAGCAACATCAGCAAAGTAGCAGGTGAACAGCTCATGTGTGAGGACCCGGTACCTGGTCCCGGGGTGCAGGCTGACTCCCTGTGGGGTGGACCCAGCTCATCCCATCCTGGGTCTGCACACGTCAGGGGAGAGATGTGCTCTGTGGGGTTCTCAGTGGGGGTTCTCAGTGGCTGTTCTGGAAGTTTCTTGGGTTTTGCACCCACACATTTAACACTCTTAAAAGGAAAGCAAGCATGTGAGGGATTTCAGAAAACAAAACAAAATGTAAAAATATGGTAGCTCACCAGGCCTTTCTAGAGGTGGGCAAGTCCAAGCATCTGCTTGAGAAAAAGCAGCCGGTCAGTGGCCCCTTGACTTGGTTGCCAAGAGACATGAGGCCTCTTGCTCCTGGGACAATAGTCTGGGTCACCCTGCCCTGCTGAGGAGCCGCTTGTGCCTGACTCCCCTTGACATCGCCCAGGGCCCCAACCTGACTTTGAATCTCAACTTCCAGAGTAAAAGGGAGACAGACCAAATTACAGCCCTCCCCATCCTTGGTGATGCATCACATCACAGGAAGCAATTAAAGGCCACACTGCCCAGATCTCCACACGGCTCCAATTAGACCCACGATCTGGCTGGGGCTCCATGCTGGCCTCCACAGCGAGCCCCAGCCACTGACCTTTGCTTAGAAGTGTAAGATGACTCAGGTCCGGGTGGTGCAGTGACTAAAGCACTCAGCCAGTAACCAAAAAGTCAGTCTCTGGAGTCCCCAGCGTACTTCCACAAAGGTCACCCCTGGGGAAACCCAACAGGCTGCTCCGCACTGTCCCACAGGGTGGCTGCGGGTTGGAGTGGACTCAGGGCATGCCCGATGATGATCAGCTTCAAAGGGCAGTTGAGAGGGCAAACACACCCTTGGCCGCACAGCTTCATGATCCCTCACTGTCCAGCAGACTGGCTCATGCTGCCCCCATTTGTCTCGGAGGGGAACTACGCTCCATGGGGTTTTCAGAGATGATTTTTGGAAGCTGGTGGCCAGACCTTGGTGTCCCTCAGTGGACTCAAACCTTCAACTTTGGACAACAGCCAAATGAGTGAGTTACCTGTTTGTTCCCTGGGGACTCCCAATGATCACTCTGTTGTCATGTGCTGCCCAGTCCATTCTGACCCTAGTGACCCCCCCCCCCCAGGACAGAGCAGAACTGACTCATGGGATTCCCTGGCTTGACAGGAGCACACTGCCAGGCCTTTTCTCTCCAGGCGCTGCTGGCCAGCTCAAACCACCAACCCTCCAGATGCCAGCTGAGAACATAACTATAAGGGTTCCCTGGGCAGGAGGGAGGGCCCCATAAAGAGAAGAGCGTCCCTGAATGGGAGGGAGGACTCACATAGAGGAGCGTGCCCCCCACCCTGTGGGAGAGAGGGCCCCATAAAGAGAACACCCCTAAGTGGGAGGAAAGGGCCCATAAAAAGGAGAGTGTTCCTGGGTGGGAGGGAGGGACTCTTACAGAGGAGAGCACCTCCAGGTGGGAATGAGGACCCCATAAAGAGGAGAGCACCCCCAAGTGGGAGGGAGGGTTCCAAAAGGAGAGTGTCCGGCCGTGGGAGTGAAGACGAGACCACCCCCAGGTGGGAATGAGAGCTTCCAAGCTGGAGCCAAGGTCACTTCAAGAGGAGAGCGCCCCCTAGTGGGAGCGAGGGCCCTGTAAAGACAGGTACGCAGAGCCAGGCACAGTATGCTCAGGAGATGCGGAGGCTTCCCCACCACCTCTCTCTTCCACAAACACACTCAGGCTTGTCTCTGGGCTCTCTACGCACATCTGGGTCCTGTCACTGAAGCTCACAAAGGCCCAAATGCTGAGGCTGAGCCCGGAGCTGTGCTGAAATCCACGGCCACCAGCAGA